GTCATAAATATGAATCAGTTGCCAAGCATCTGAATGTAAATCACAAGACCCTGGAGATGCTGCAACATTCCAGCTGATCGGCGCTTCTTCTGGGCTCAGCAGAAGCACCAGGATCAGCGCCGAGCTCCAGCTGGAGCCTGGCGCTGATCCTGGTGCTTCCACTGAGCCCTGACAGCCCTGCAGCTCCAGCCGTCTCTTGCTCAGGCTTGTGCGATGCTGCCACCGGTTCAGCTCATTCCCTTCCCCCACTACCACTTATCTAGGATGGTCGCGTACCACCTGACAGGTGCCAATGTACCACAGGTGGTCCCCGTACCACTGGTTGAAAAGACTTGGACTAGAAGACCTTCAAGGTCTCTTCCAACTCTGTTATTCTGACTTTTGGCTTTATATCCTGTTTTTTTTTTTTTTCTATAAACAATGCCAAATACTTAAGTAACCGAGGTACACACAAAATGACTTATATTCTCTTCCTTACACAGAACAAGCACACACTCCATGGCTCAGTTGTTTGACTGGACCAGTTCTGGGCAGGCGGTAATCAGACGGAAGCAAAACCTCCAACCTCCATTGATCCATTAAGGACAACGAAGAGCCCTTAAGACAGTGGTTCTCAACCTTTTTAATGCCGCGACCCCCAACCGGTCGTAAGTCGAGGACTAAACCGGTCGTAAGTCGAGGACTAAACCGGTCGTAAGGCGAGGACTACCCAACCGGTCATAAGTCGAGGACTTTCCCTGCCCGGGAGCGCCGCGCATGCGTGGTTCCTCCCCCTGCGCTGGCCGAGGCGTAGCTGGCAAGCGGCAGAGACGGAGCAGGCCGACCACCAGCTGGCCCAGCTCAAGGGAGGTAAGGCACCTGCCGGAAAAGGGGGAAAAAAATGGCGGACAGCCTTGCTTGGCGACCCCCGTGAAATGGTCGATCGACCCCAAATGGGGTCACGACCCATAGGTTGAGAACCACTGCCTTAAGACCACCAAGGCATCGGATGACAGTGCCGTGATATGCAGCATGGCAAACGATGCTAAGAGGAGGGACCAAAGGGAGAAGTCGGGTCTAATGGACCAGACTGGATGGAGAAGGTGCTGCTGGGCTTCTTGCTCACCTCCGCTGAGCTTCTTTTGCTCTTCCTTCGCAGCTTCTCCTAAAGCACGGCTGTCTTTCTTCATCTCCTTTGCTCTGTCTCCAAGGTTGTGCTTGAGGACATTCTGCACATAAATAAAGAGAACTGGTCCCAACACACCTGCCAAGAAACTCACACAAAACATTCTGAACCTACAGCTTCTGCAAGACGTCTATGGAGATTCTCAGTCATCAGGGTCATAGTTATCCCAAAGGTGCTTTTTTTCCACGAGGCAACTGGACTTTCTTGTTTTTCTTTGAAGACTTTTCGCTTCTCACCCAAGAACAATCCAGTCAGAGCTGAAGAAGCTTCTTGGATGAGAAGCGAAACATCTTCAAAGAAAAACAAGAAAGTCCAGTTGCCTCGTGAAAAAAAGCATCTTTGGGATCTTATGCAAGAGTACTAGCCTCCGTTGGTTGTCTTCTCTTGGTGCACACTCTTCTCCCTCTAGCCCAGTGGTGGCAAACCTATAGCACGGGTGCCAGAGGCGGCACTCAGCGCCCTCTCTGTGGGCACGCGCGCCGTCGCCCCAGTCCTAGGCCTTCAGCTGAGTTTTATAAACCCTTTTTGCTTTAGGCCTCTGCTGCCGTGTGCAAAAAAAAAAAAAAAGGTTCAATCAATCAGTCAATTTCAACTTCTCGCGGGGAAAAAAAAAGATCTTGCAAAGTTGGAATTGATTGATTGAACTTTTTAGTCCCACCCAGTCTGCCGTTACCACTGCAGCCACGCCCACCCAATGGGCCATGCCCACCCAATGGGCCACGCCCACCCAATGGGCCACGCCCACCCGGCACTCGACGATGCATAAGTGGGTTTTGGGTTGCAGTTTCAAACCAGAAGGTCTGATCCTTCACCAAAGTGACGCTGGGGCTCACACAGATTTTGTAGCTCCAGAAATCGTGGGCGCTCCATCACTGGAGATTTTATGAAGAGGCTAGACAGTCACTTGTCTGAGATGGTATAGGTTCTCATGCTTGAGGGGGTGGGGTGGACTAGAAGACTTCCAAGGTCCTTTTCAGTTCTGTTCTGGTTCTGGTTCTGGTTCTATTCTATTCTATTCTATTTCTTGTTCTATTGCTGTTCTAGTCCTGTCCTGTCCTGTCCTGTCCTGTGCTGTCCTATTTTATTCTGTTCCGTTCTGTTCCATTCTGTTCTATTTCTTGTTCTATTCTTTCTTGTTCTGTTCTATTCTATTCTATTCTATTCTATTCTATTCTATTCTATTCTATTCTATTCTATTCTATTCTATTCTTATTCTTATTCCTATTCCTATTCCTATTCTTGGTCTATTCCTATTCCTATTCCGTCCTATCCTATCCTATCCTATCCTATCCTATCCTATTGTCCTCTAAGGAGAAAGCAGTCCTCCATGAAAATCTCAGCTGTCTCACTAAAACAACAAAATTATTACACTGGACAAGGGAGGGAGGTTGACTGCTGGGTCTTGGCAGGTGAGCAGGCTCTAGCCCTCTTTCAAATAGAGATTGCAAGACAAACATTCCTACCTTCAAAGCTTCATCAGAAGCATGGAGGGCTTTGCTGGCTGCCTCTTCTGCATTCTTCACCGCCTCAATGATGCTGGCATAGGCGTTGGAAGCATTGATGGCCCTTTGAATAAAGCCATCCTGGTTTGTGCCATGGATAATGCTGTTTTGGAGAACAAAACAAACCAACCTGTTTTTATCAGAGGTGCCAACTGGATTCCTGCTGCCAACAGAAGGACTGAATTTTCAACGGCGTTAACTAGTTTTATTTCCCCAAAATTTCAGTAGAGGTGGTCCTTGACTTACAACTGTTCATTTAGTAACCACTCAAAGTTACAAAGGCATTGAAAAAAGTGATTTATGACCACTTTTCACACTTCACAACCACTGCAGCATCCCCAGGGTCACGTGATGAAAATTCAGATGCTTGGCAACCGATTCATATTTATCACGGTTGCAGCATCCCAAGGTCACGGGATGTCCAGGTGTCTTCCGACAATCAAAATAATTGAATGAAGCTTTATTCACTAAAGGACCGGGTGACTCGCTTAGCAAATGCAGCGGTCTGCTTAACAACTGTGGCAAGAAAGGCCACAAAATGGGGCAAAATTCACTTGACAAATATCTTGCTAAACAACAGAAATTTGGGGCTTAGCTGTGATTGTAAATCAAGGACTATTTGTAGAGGGTAGCCTGCAGAAGAGCTGGTCAGTTTATGGACGCCAGAAATCCAGTTTCAAGGATGGGTCTTTCCTAAGTCCCACCACCAATGATCTCTTCTCACCTCCATGCCTTTGAAAGACTGACCCAGAGATCCCCACCTGTGGGTTATGGCCCACTAGTGGGCAGTGAGGGGTTTGCAACTGAGTGGTGGAAATAGCTGGTGAGTGCGTGCACAACCTCACTTGCGCAAGTAGCAGGCGAGTGCACAAGCTCTATTTAAATGAGTGGCACGCCCATGTGCACGGAGCTGTGCACGCGTGCACTTACTAACCGCTCGTGCAGAACCATCCCCTCCCGCCTCTGCCGGTCCGCAAAGCTAAAAACATTGGGGAACTCTGGGCTAACCAACCAGGAAACTAACCAAGGAGAGAAGCAACCTAGAACTAAGGAGAAACTTCCTGACAGTTAGAACAATTAACTAATGGAACAACTTGCCTCCAGAAGTGGTGAATGCTCCAACACTGGAAGTTTTAAGAAGAGGCTGGATAGCCATTTGTCTGAAATGGTATAGGGTTTCCTGCCTGAGCAGGGGGTTGGAATAGATGACCTCCAAGGTCCCTTCCAACTTTATTATTATAAATTATAAATTATAAAGATTGGAAAGACCTGAAACTTCTCTTCCTTGCATTTAGAGTAATACTATTAGAAGGAAGAAACCCACTCTATAAAAAGACAGGAATCCGGTAGTTTTGAAATAGGTCAGATTATGACTTTAGCAAGAGCGGTAAAATACAGTAGTTTCAAAAGTAAAACCTAGTAATTGGTGAAGTATTAAGACTACCTCAACTCTTTAGATCAGTGTTTCTCAACCTTGACAATTTTAAGGCATGTGGACTTCAACTCCCAGAATTCCATAGCCAGCAATGCTGGCTGTGGAATTCTGAAGTCCACATGCCTTAAAATTGTCAAGGTTGAGAAACACTCCTTTAGATGATTTGTGTCCATGTGTGATGAAATGTAGTCTGGATTCCCAAGAGGGAGGGGCTGCATTTTTGGGAAGACAATACTATTCAGATAGTTTGTATGAGAGAAAGAAGGTGAAGACAGCTCCTCCTTAGCAGTTCCCAGTGCAAATGCTTTATGGGGCTGGTAGTTTGCTTTAGTTTGGCAAGATTCTGTCTATATTTATTTATTTATAAAATTTATTTGCCGCCCATCTCGTACCCAACGACTCTGAGCGGCTTACAGCATCAAACATTAAAGAAGAAAAGACATTAAAATCAACAGTTATGGCACACAGCGGATAAAATCATTCACAATTACTATTGGTGAGGAACAATAAAGAAATCTACTTGGAAAAATCGCATTGTCTTTTTCTTGATTTTTGAAGCCTGACAGAGTGTGTGTGTGTGTGTGTGTGTGTGTGTGTGTATGTGGGTGGGTGTGAGTGTGGGTGTGTATTCATGTTAAATCTCTAATGTTGATAACAGCCTGAAATTAGTCTTCTAAACTTACTAACATAATAATTAAAAAAAGCATTTCATGGTGTGCAACCCTTCCATCTAGTACAAAATAAAGCCAACTCTCTTTTCAGTCAAGAATAAAAAGAAGTTCTTAAAATTAAAAAATAAATAAATTCTGCTGTTAAGATAAAATATTCATTTTTAATATTGGAAAGCATCTTTTTTTGTTCAGTGTTCAGGTTGTTTTGAAAGGACTACAATGCCAGAAAAAAGAATCCAATCACATATGGAGCAATATTGAGATTTCTAATATTGCCAAGAGGGACACATTTCCAAGCCAGGACCACAGCTGGCTCTGGATACAGGGCAAGCATGAAGCTGATGACCTGATACATCACAATTGCTGGGAAATTCTTCTAATGACCAGTGAGATGAAAAATTGGAAGAACATTCCGCACTGAGAAGAATTCCAGAATGGCACAGATTCAGAAAAGCCATCATTTACCTGATGTCAAACATCAGTTTTTCTTTTCAAAATTGCTTTGAAAAATACTGCTTTTCTTTCCTTTCAGTGTCACCTTTTTAAAAAGCAAGAACTGGTTTACTGTACAGCGAGAACTGATTATATATCCTACTCCAATCTATCATTTTCTCTTCTCCTTGAACGCAAAAATCATTTTTTCCCCTCATTTCATATTTGTGTTCAATACACTTATCTGAAACTTGGCTGTTTTGAAAAAAAAAGGTCGTGTTGAAATGCAGAATGACAATAAAGATGGTCCTCGACTTACGACCAAAACTGAGCCCAAAATTTCTGTTGCTGAGACAGTTGTCAATTGAGTTTTGACCCATTTCCTGACCTTTCTTGCCTTCGGTTGTTAAGTGAATCACTGCAGTTGTTAATAGCCATGGTTATAAAATGAATCTGGCTTCCCAATTGAAGGTTGCAAAAGCTGATTGGAAATGCCCGGGACATTGCGACCGTCATAAATATGAGTCAGTTGCCAAGCATCTGAATTTTGATCACGTGACCATGGAGAGGCTGCAACGGTCGCAAGAGTGAAAAACAGTTATAAGTTATCTTTTTTTCAGTGCCGTTGTAACTTTGAACGGTCACTAAATGAACTGTTGTAAGTCGAGGACTACCTAGAATCTAGAACAGAGGCAGGCAACCTTGGCTCTTTTATGACTCGTGGACTTCAACTCCCAGAATTCCTGAGCCAGCATGGCTCAGCTTGGAAACCTCTCCCTTTCCCCTCAGCACGGCTGGCTCAGGAATTCTGGGAGTTGAAGTCCACGAGTCATAAAAGAGCCCAGGTTGCCTATTCCTGGTCTAGAAGGAAGTACTTTTACATCTGAGGATAGACATAAATCTCAAAAAAGACCCAGCAGGAGCTCCTCCATAACAGACAAAGAAGAAAACGATAAATGAAGCAACGTAGTCAATTCCATTGTCAACGCTGCAAATACTGTACATTCCTGCTTTGACAACATGCAGAACTGTCTGGTATTTTTATAGTTTTATATATTGCAAGTTAATTGGAAGATGTGAACCGTGACCCCAAAATAGGGGCAGGGAAAAGTGCTTAGAATGTATGTGTAACGGAAAAGAATCCAGATCTCAGCATTTCCACCATGCCGTACTGACGTCTCTGTAACCTTAATAAATGCTTTTAGGAAAAATTATGCCTGAAAGTCCTTTTAAGTGTTTCGTTAATCAGACACATGACAATCCATACTTTGCAGGAAGATCGGAAAAGCCAACACAACATATGTGCACATCTGAAACCCAAGAATACACTAAGGCAGAAGCTTGTCCACCCCAAGGATAAAACACCCAGACAAAAACTGAGCAGCATGGTATATATGCAGTACAATGCAGTGAGCCATGTGCCGATCTGTACATTGGGGAAACGAAACAACCACTTCATAAACACATGGCACAACACAGGAGAACAAACCCATCAGGACAACAGTCAGCAGTCCATCTGCATTTGAAAGACAAAGGCCACTCTTTTGAAGAGAGCAAAGTCCACATTTTGGACAGAGAGGACCGCTGGTTTGAAAGAGGGGTCAAAGAGGCCATCTATGTCAAAACAGCCCTCTCTCAACAGAGGGGGGGGATACGACATCATCTATCTCCAGTCTACAACACCGTCCTTTCAGCAGTTCCAAGAAGGCTCCACACCCATTTGCACTACTCAGGTGACCCTGAGGGCAGAGGTAAATCTCCAAATGGCCTCACCGACTCTCTAAAATAATGCAAATGACCAGCTGTCTGCAAGGAGTATAAATCCTTCCATTCCACACCATTCAGTCAGAGCCGAAGAAGCTTCTTGGATGAGAAGTGAAACGTCTTCAAAGAAAAGCAAGGAAGTCCAGTTGCCTCCTGAAAAAGCATCTTTGGGCTGAGGATGGAAGCTTCACTGCATTTCAACAGCTGGTCAGGAAATGAGACACCATTAAACGGGAAGCGATTATTACCTGGAGAGATTCCGTGCCAATTCATCTAGTAGATTTGCATGCTGCTCTGCCAACTCCACCTTCTGGATCTTGTTGCTAGCCAAAGTGTACTCTTTCACCTTTTCGGACAGAGGATATCTGGCTCCATCTAGCTGGGCCAGTAACTTCTCAGATTCCTGAAACACAAAGGAAGCATCGGTCACCATTCAGAAGACCAGCTTTGCCATTCTTTCTCTTTTCGATGAAGGGTCCTCTCCGAAGAATCAGAGGTATGAAGAATATCCAAACACCTGACACCTGCTACAATAACAATCTGAGCCAGTTTTTCCCAACCTTAGTAAGATATGTGGACTTCAACTCCCAGAGTTCCCCAGCCAGCCATGCTGCCTGAGGAATTCTGGGAGTTGAAGTCCATAAGTATGTCTAGTTTAATGAAGAGAAGGACGAGGGGGACATGATAGCAGCGTTCCAGTATTTCAGGGGCTGCCACAAAGAAGAGGGAGTCAAGCTATTCCCCAAAGCGCCTGAAGGCAGGACAAGAAGCAACGGGTGGAAACTAATCAAGGAGAGAAGCAGCCTAGAACTAAGGAGAAACTTCCTGACAGTTAGAACAATTAACCAGTGGAACAACCTGCCTCCAGAAGCGGTGAATGCTCCAACACTGGAAGTTTTTAAGAAGAGACTGGACAGCCATTTGTCCGAAATGGTATAGGG